AAGTTCCGAAGTGTGGTGTCTCACGAGTGTTACGGTTACAGTTACGTGAATCTTCAACATTTTACTATCATGATGCTTACTACTAACAATTTCATGATAACTTAGCTAGTACTATTCAGTCGAATAGTAGCCCCCCTACCTGCAGCCTTGATACAGTTGAGGAAGATTTTGACGTTTTCGTCACACTTGTGTTCGTCCTCGTAGAAGTACGTTCTGGCGCTGACCACGTCCTCCCGACGGTCACCAAACTCCTCGTGAGCCTTAAACTTCTCGCTGTGGATTTCTGGGGAAACACAATTAATTATAAATCACAACTAGCTACATATCAAGTACTCAGGTCCTGCTGAAATATCCAGATCCCTTAAAATCTGTACGTAAATGTATTGTTTTCAAATGGTAGTAAACAACTTGCAACTGAAGGTCATCTTCTCCTCCAAGCTTTGGATGACCTAGCTTGGATTGTTCTCTGAAGGTCGCCCCCCTCCCCCCCTGCTGTTCGATAGAATGAATGTTCTGTCATTACCTGACTGGTCGGGTTCGGCTGAAGACACACAGGAGCTGAAGAAAGGGACAAAAGAATTCTGGATTTAATTTATGAAGTGTCTTAACAACAGACGCTAAAATCAAAAGATAACAATCATACAATTTGTCAGTTTTTACTACTCAATGTATGATGATTATAAATTTAGTTTTGACGGCTTCACTTTTTCCCTGTGATCTGCCCAAGAAGGCCACCTGTCTAAGAAGGCCACTTTTGCTTGGTTCTCTGGGTGGCCTTCTTACATAATGTCAGCAGGTTGAGATAACTTTTGCTTCATTTTGGACTTCCAAAAAATTTGTCTTCACTAATATTTGCATATCAATCAATAGTTTGTGCTTGTAAACCTGCCTTTTGCAAGTCTCTAGTGTTACTGACGAAATATAGTGGATGCTTAGTAACCTGCAAACAATCTGACCGTTTCCAAAATCATATCCAGTTGCTTGAGTAACTCAATACCCGGTATGACTTATTATGAGATGACTGTTTGTTAGAGAAACCTTACTCCATCTCCGCAGACACAGCCTCGTCCCTGGACAGATCCTCCTCCACGGAGTAATCGAGGATAGACCCGACTCCGAACTTCTCCATCCTCTTGATTAGGGGCTTGATGCTCTCCTGGTCCTCCCCCGCCACAAAGTGCCCATAAAACGTGGCCTTCATGCAGTTTTTGAACAGGCGCCTCCCCAGGACACGGCGGCCGAGCTTCATCAGCTGCAGAGGACCCAGAGAACAGAAGGATGGATTTAACCTTGGGTTGGTTATGGCAAAGAGGTTGCCAGGTAAAATTTTTATTCTAACCTCCTTTGTTACAGAGATAGATGGCAGGGAGAATAAAAAAATTGACATTAAGTTTCGATGGTTACGGGAGATTTCATTGAATGTTGATGTTCATGTGGTTTTGTGAATTAGTGTAGAAAAAAATAATAACTTTATTATTATTACATCAATATGGTGGTGTTTTGAGAGGGATTAGTGTCAATGATTGTTGATCTAGCAAAAATAAATAAGAAGAAAAGCCACTTTGTTTCACTCTCCCTTGCAGCAATTCAAATTGCTCTTTTCAAATTGCAGACTTTAATTAAGCTACCTGAGCATGTCAATTGACGTCAATCCATTCTTATTTTCCATGGGACAGTGACTCAGGTAACGTCATTTTCTGTTGCACAAGGAATTCGACCTACTGTCACTAAAGCCTGGCATTGTCCCTGGCTGCTACAAAAAGCTTGGGTCACATAAGCACCTACAATTGTGCTGACACTCAGAAAACCACACAATGTCATGCAAACATGACCTTTGTACACTATTCTGTGACAATAATTTTAAGCACGACAAATATGTTAAACTCTTGCATTTGACTAAAATTCTAAAAGACTGACTGTTTTATCCAATATAACCTATTGTGTATTTACTCTTAGCTTCATCAGTATTATCACACAATATAGGCTGGAGTGCCCTTTTTCCCAGTGTCAAGAAAAAAAGCTTGCCATTATTTAAGAATTGCCGGTTCTCTTGAAACCTACTTAACTGGTGATCTTGCAAACTCCTGGCCTACTATGTACACAGTTGATTTCAAACATACAGTCGTAATTGTGGCACCAAATCAACATCTGAGTGTTCGCGTGTCACCGTGTGGCACACAAGGTACTTGTTATATATACACAGGGGCTAAACAGTAACCAACTGCATACCTGAATGGTTAGGTTGGTATTTGATGGGTATACATTTGCACACACATCATCACACGTGCAACAATTTCTAATAAGTGCAAGATGGAAATTAAGAGGCTAAATTTGTGTTTGATGACAACAGGCCTTATAGGGTGAAAACCTTAGATTTTCTTAATTCTATTATCTACAAAATTGCAAAATTGGCAGATTTTGGCGTTAAATAAATTGCATTATGACAGCAAGTACTAGTACTACTAGTAATTAAAATTTATATAAATTTGAAAATGCACGACACTGAGAATGAGATGCATGCTTTTTCAGTTGTTGAAAAATTGACATGATCATCACAAAAAAAATGATGATGCTTAAAAAAGCAATCATAACTGTTTAATTATACATAAAAGCTTTAAAACATGAACCAGGAAATGTTATTAATATTAATAATAACTGTTTCACTTGTGCCAGCAAGCAGGATGTACAAAACTGTATGTTTAATTTTGTCTATTTCTGTCCCATTGGCCCCAGTGCTCTAGTAAAAAAATGCAAGCCTCAAAATCACATGACTCCCTTATCATAACACTTGCGGATATCACATGTGTGCACTGGGTCAAGTATTTATGGAACTGGTCGTGTTTTTACCCCCATATAGATTTAAGAGCACTTGGTCCTTGGTCAACCATACACCCTCCAAAACGACACAAGCAGAATAAAAGGGGCAATGTAATTCAAGCCTTTAGGGGGGTTTTCAACTTACCCAACCGGTGTCAGCAATTTTAACCCAATTAACAAAATGTTTCTGCCTAAGTTCTGCAAGTACGAAGTAACAAGAAAGAGAACTTTGCATCCCAAATCAGTTTCTCTGCATTATTTTATACACAGCCTCCGATCAACATGGCAGCTGATCTCTTTCGCTCACAAGATGACACATTGACATGTAAATTATGTATGTCTGTCACTTAAACACTGTCAGCATGATTTATTTCTTCCTGGTGATTAAAGTTGACGACTTGATGACAACTGCTTGGATCCAAAAGCACAACTGCTGGAAAATTAGGGTTAGCCTATATCGTATAATAAAGTCCATACAGTGCAACCAACCATAAAGTGATAGGTACACAATGCAGGCATAGGTCAATGAACTGAATGCATTATGTGATGTGTCCTGTAGCCAACTATACAGCCAAAGGCATGAATATAAAATTAGGTCAATGACCTATGTCCTTGACTATACAGAATGGATGAGAACTAGTCTGGTAAGATGTGCTCTGGTTGATTGATGGCTGCTCAGTGACAGAATGAGGTCACCTTTTTATGTAAAGGTTGAGAAAATAATTATCATATAATGTGGACTTAATGATAGGCTTGAAACACCTGAAGTGAAAATAAAATATAAAATGAAGAAATATTACATCGTAAGTGTCAAAAAGTGACTCAAATCCACCTACAAGGAAGGAAAAAGTGGAAAAACAGTGGATCAAAGGCATTCTTGTTTTTCTGTTCTAATTGCAGGGACATGTAAGAATAATTGCCCTAGAAACACTTGGGAGGTGTCCCATGACAGGGTAGGGGATGGTCTGCTATTTGTCTGCCCCATGGGTGGCAACTGACAATATAATGACTAAAACAGACAGGTTCAAATAAAAATAAGAAATAACAAAAAATAACAAAAATCACCAATACTTTTCTTTAAAAATTAGCAGTGCCCATGTCGTCATTTTGTGAATAATTATATACTTTAATAGAAATATATTTTTCCAAAGAGAAGAGTTCAAAGAGATAGCAAGAACTTCAACTCGAAAAAAAAATTATTTCCCACCTTCCTATATCAAATACATGATCGCTACAATCTCAAACTTTAAGTTAATAAAACGTTGATATATTTATAGATGTAATTATGTTATAAACAAGTACAAAAGTGACTGCGTAGTCGCACCTGAGTGTTGTTTCTCACGATGATATCGAAAGAACACAACTTGAAGACAAGCAAAGCCCGCAGAATTTCCCGCGTAGTTTTACTTTTGTAGGCCTCCAAGGCGTCGTCAAAGTTGAGGGAAACGATCGGAAACTGTCGGACTTGTTCCCCGTAGTCATGCCGGATGTCAAACCGGGACTTAACTTCGGGGACATCGGCGGGAACATCGGCGGGCTGGGCGTCGGCCTTGTCCGCGGCAACAGCCGCCCGCGCCATGTCCACCTTCACCCGGACCGGAGTCACCCGGACCTCGGCGATCTGGGGCCGAAGAAGTCCCCGGGAAACCCCCGGACATAGTCTGATCACAGTCAACCTGGTCGCCATCGCTTTACAAGTAGACCGGCGGTGAGTTGCGTAAGGTTGTTGTACAGCTACCGCCCCATCACTCTGTTGTTGTTGTCTAAACGTGATTGACGTACAACAGCTTTCCGGTCAATACCTTTGTGCACTGGATAGCAGTTATGGTTACCAAACTAGGTGAAAAAGGCTGCAAGACAACTGCTTGTTGCCGAGAGTGGTGCCCTCGGAATCACGCCTAGTCATGTGACGGTTGGTATTACGTATCTGGGGTAGGTCGACTTTATTTAGGGGGACTTTTGAGTTATATTGATAAACAAATAACACAATATCCAAAGCTTTCTAAGATATGTTGTTGACTAATTTCTGTTATATATTTATAACCTATCAACTTATTTTCAAAATGTGGTTCTAAGTATCACTTATTTTGAAAAAGAAAGAATAAAATTTACCATGTATTCTAAACCTCCCCTTTCTAAGAATGCAATGTACCCAAAGACTGGAACAAACTGGTTCAAGCTGGCTTGCCAAATACGTTCGATTTGACTTTGACTTTGCCTTAAAAAATCGCGTATTCGTGCCGCGTATTCTCATTTCGCCATCTTTACCTTTCAAATTCATCGCTGACACAAGATTTATGAAATGCCAATCTTGCGATACGCAGAGACGCGTTCAAAACATGCGTAACATAGCAGAAGGAAACATGATCTGTTGTTTTGCAGGGATGTCCCAAAGTCTAGGGCGTGCTGGGGGTGTGTCAAAATCCTAGGCTCTGATTGGAGGAGATCATAGCATAGGTTCAATGTCAAAATGGCAGGGAATTTCCAATGTTATTCCCCGGAAAAATTGTAACATTGCTTTTACATAGCTGGAAATAATATATAGAGCGTTCTATAGCGAAACAACATCATCTCGAGGTGTCCAGAAGTATAAAATGTAGTAGCCCGTGCATTACACCTATAAACCGCTAGGTGGTGCTGCTAGATTGGCAAAATAAACTAAGCCATCTGGTGACCTTTGACACCATCGTACGATGCTCGCGCCATAATTTGCTTGGCTGTGGCAACTCTTCTTTGGCGGCGAACTTTGATCATCGCTTCTCGCAGACTCTTTTCGTGGGTTGTACGTTCTCAATGGCGGCTCCAAATGGAAAGGTAGGATACAACAAGATTATATAAAGTAGGTTTGGCTTGCTTTGAGCAGTGTATTATGAAATAACAAGAAGGTTAGCCCAAAATTTAACTTTCTCTCCTATATTAAAATTATGTTCCAGTTTTGGACATTTCTGGACTCCCTGCCCTGAAAGTAACGCTGTACACGTTATTCATACCGAATTATGCATCTCTATGAAATACCGAATTTCAATTTAATAGTCTGTTAATTGTTTATAATTGATCTACACATAGTAGTAAGATATGCCCACATTTTCATGTGACATCATAATTTGCAAAAAAGTCTCAATGATCTTGTTTGGTAAGACCAAGGAAATCCCTAAGGAATTCGTTCATGACCCACATTTTGCCCCCCAGGTTGCTGTGATCACGGGAGGGAATGCTGGGATAGGCCTGACCCTCGCAGAGAGGTTGCTGACCCTTGACCCGACCTTGACCCTATGCCTGGCCTGTAGGAACATGATGAAGGTCAGGAGTCATTGATGTTATCGTAATTTGCTTGTCGTATTTTGGATGGCACACACACGAAAACATCGCTGAACCAAAATGTTGTATTTTGCAGGCAGAAGCAGCGAGACAAGCCCTTCTGACCTCTCACCCCGGGTCACGTGTGGAGTGCGTTCGGCTCGACACCAGCGACGTCCAGTCAGTGTACACCGCGGCACAGAAAATCCGGGAGGAGTACCCAAGGGTCAACTACCTCTACCTTAATGCTGGTACAGAGAAAATAGTAACGTTATCGTATTCAGAACCGTGCCTGTACCTGTCTAGGTCTTAGATGCCCGAATGGGTTAGGGTAAATAGAGTCAGGCATGGTTCTGTATAGTCTCTGGTTATTGTATCCCAAACCTTGCCCATCTAGTTCTGTGCCTAAATTAGTCAGGGTTAGGAGCAGGCACAGTTCTGGATAATCTCCAGTTATTGTATCCTGAACTTTGCCTATCTAGTTCTGTGCCTGAATGAGCTAGGGTCAGGGTCAGGCACGGTTCTGGATAGTCTCCATGTATCCAAGAATATAGATTTGCCCCATTCATGGTTTTGGATAAGTGTGGACCATCCAAAACCATGTCTAAGCATGATTCTGGATAAAGCACGGTTCTAAACACATATACACCTGGCCTGTTACTTTGAGTTTAAAAAGACATTCAAATTGGGTAAATAATAGACTGATAATTATCTCAAACAAACAATTTCGCAGGTACGATGGGGAAGGTGTCAGTAGATGCAGCGGCCATCTTGAAAGCGTTGGTGTCACCGCGAGCGCCTGAAATCTTCCGCACCGGAGAGAAGCTCCTCTCGCAGAAGGACGAGACAACGAAGGACGGACTGCAGGAAATCTTTGCCACAAACGTCTTCGGACACTTCGTGCTGATCAGGGAGCTGGAAGACGTCTTGTGCCAGGCTGACCACACCTCTCAGGTAATGTCAGCCATGTGTAGATGAACCTTAGACATCTAGGTAATAAAAAAACAGTTACTCATCGACAAGCAACTGGATATGATTTTGGAAACGGTCAGATGTTTCAGGTAGCATCCACTACCTTTCGTCAGTGACACTAAGAGACCAGAGGAGAAATGCAGGTTTAATATAATAAGTACGAACTATTGATAATGTCAGCCATGTCTTGAGCTTGAGACACGTTGCACACATGGATTTGTAGCTCCTTAAGACACATCACAAACTAAGTTAAATCTTAAGACGCATAAAAGTAGGTTCTTAGACACACCACACAGGTAAATGTATCACCTGTAACTTCTTTAGACAGGTCTTGTGCCAGGCAGACCACACCTCTCAGGTTTGGCCAGAAGTGTCTTAAGACACATTGCACAGATAGATTCAAAATTTATCACCTGTGACATTTTAAAACACACCACAAAGGTAAATTTATGTGGCCAGAAGCTCTTGGGGAGGAGACCAATCAGCCACTGACAGTGGAACCAAGAGATTGTGTACACAGACAAGGTAAACAGACATCTACTGTGAAATATAACATCTGTGTCCATAATATCACCAGGGTCCACAATATCGCCACCTTGAGAAACAGTGTGCTTAAAGATATTTTTACTGCAACATACTTTTGGTACGCACTCCTTCACACATCAAATGTACATACCTACTAGTAGGGTGTGTTGCAGCAAAAATATCTTTAAGCACACTATTTCTCAAGGTGGCGATATCATGGACCCTGGTGATATTATGGACACAGATGTTACAACTTAGGGTTAGAAGTTGTTCTAATTGGTCACATGCACTGTATGACACCATCTTTTGACCTCCAACCTTTGCCCTTCAGGTCATCTGGACGTCCTCCCAGAACGCCACCAGGAAGGCGTTTGACCTTGAGGACTTCCAGCACAGTCAAGGTCACGAGGGTTACAGCTCCTCCAAGTACGTGACGGACGTGCTCAGCGCGGCGTTGAACGAGCGATACCGCGGCCGCGGGCTGTTCTCCCACACCGCGTGCCCCGGGCTCGTTGTGACGAACCTTACCAAGGGCATCCTGCCCTTCTGGCTGTGGTGGCTCATGCTGCCCCTGCTGTGGCTCATGCGGGCGCTGGTACCGAGCATGACCATCAGTCCGCACAATGGTACAGAGGTGCTGGTACGTACTGCTGTTGTCTTGGAGGGTAATTACCTAGGTGATGTGTTGCCTAGGTGATGTGTTGACTTGGTGATGTAGTACCTACATGTACAATGTGGGTGATGGTACCAAGCATGACCATCAGTCCCCACAATGGTACAGAGGTGTTGGTACATACTGCTGTTGTCTTGGAGGGTAGTTACCTAGGTGATGTGTTACCTTGCTGATCTGTTACCGCCGGGGTGATGTGTTAACTAGGTGATGTGTTACCTAGGTGATGTATTGCCTAGGTGATGTGTTGCCTAGGTGATGTGTTACCTTGGTGATGTGTTACCTAGGTGATGTGTTACCTAGGTGATCTGTTACCGAGGTGAGGTGTGGTGTCATGTGTGCTAACAGGTGTGTTTGTTCCAGGTGTGGCTGTCCCAACAGGTGTGCTAACAGGTGTGTTTGTTGCAGGTGTGGCTGTCCCAACAGGTGCCCTCCAGTCTGGACCCCCTGTGTAAGTACACCAGCAGGTGTAAGGTGTGGGGGACGGCCTACGTGGACAGGGAGAAACTGGACATCGACCTGCCAACAGCCGAGCAGTTCTACCAGAAACTCCTGCAGCTAGAAAACCACTTCAGGGAGAAGTACAGGGAGGTCAGGTCAAAGATCAGGGGTCAATGACAGTACAACTAGGTCAGAGGTCATATAGGCATCTCCGAAGTATATTTTTACCTTTGGTTGAACCGTGTCCTATCATGAACGTAACATTCTACAGACTACTGCAAAGTACTGCACAAGAAAAGAGATCAGGACAAAGGACAAGACTTTCAGTTCTGAACATCCATAAGTTACAGTGGACCCATTAGATGAGTGACGTTTGATATTAAACTTCAAATAATAGGTTTGATGAGTAAATGAACAGTCTGAGAATCTGCAATTAGACTAAAAAATTAGATTGTTCTTATTGAAAGTCTGAAACAACTAAACTACACGGAACAGTAAAAGGCGTTCAAAGTATGGCCAAAAGTCAGTTCCCAAAGGAATTTTATTTTGTATCTAACACAATACAGTGTGTTATACCACTGAAGTGCCACCATAATTCTTCTGTCACGTAGTGCAATTCCCAGATCGTTCCATTTTCTGAACATCGCAGGAGTCATCAATAAATTCAGTAAAATGTACCGCCAATCACACAGTTTTAAATTAGTGTTTGTGAATTGAAAGAAATACTTAATATTGTACTTTGCTTTTACAATGGACTTAAACTTTGTTTATAACACTTGAGGCTGTCTGTTTTATTTATAACTACATTCTATATGAGATCATCCCGTTTATGTAGTAGATTCTTCCATTCCAAAATGGCGGTAGGCAGAAGTTAAAAAGTTCTTGAAAGTCGGTTCCAAAAGTTGAAGGAAGTTTTCTGGTGACATCCATGAAGAAAGTAAGTACAGATCCCATCTGTCAACTGTTCAGTGTTTCAAGATCCACTTTTCTTTTATTTAACTGCAATGTGATGTTGAACAACAGATTAGAAAGCAAATATCTGACTGAGACCAACGCAATGTAAATTAAATTGTTATTTTGCCCTTTGGACTTAATGGGGGAGGGGGGCATCCAAAGGTCGTCCTTGTTGAAAGAATTGATTTTTTTTCACACTTCCCATAATGCACTTTCATGGCATTGCAAAATAGGCGTACCAGAGATTTTACAGCAAGTTTTTGTTATGCAAAAATACAGCTAAAACCTTGAGTAGGAAAACAGCAAAATACAGGAAATTCTAACAGGCTTTAACTGTGGACAAAAGCGTAGAAAGAAGGTACTGGGGTAAGAGATGTTGTTTCTTAAAAGGAACAGACTAGAAGTACACCACAGTGAACATCCATTTTGACATTGTACCAGGCACTATAGCCAGCATTGACTCACATGCCTATGCTGTGTACATTCATACATTTACTGGTCACCAAATATAGTCCACAGACGCCCTACTTTTCAAAAACCTGATAATAAGTGCATGAGAATTTGCCACCTCAAGTGGTACCAATAATGAAATTTGGGGTTCTGGCCCATGGACTAAAAGATGATGTACTCCATTTTGATATGATTGTACCGGGCATGTGCCCGCTGCAGCGTTGATTCACATGCCTAGCAGTATATTTAGTAACGTTCAACGATGACAGAATATAAGCATATAATGCACTCAATGGTAGCAACTGGGGCTTTATATATAATGGTGTTAAATAGTTGCAGGTATTACCAGTGCCCACAGCAGTCTAAGGCCACACCATAATTTCTTGGTTAACGGATTCGCCCGCTTCATTTTTTTCTGGTTTGCAGATAAAAATTCAGAATCAACTGCAAAATGAACAGTTGAAAACAGTCCTTTTCATCCTAGTTGTTACAGTTATCCCATCTTTCAATGCAGTGGTATCATTAAAAGTTCAAAATTCATTGTTTAAATTTTGAACCAGCCTGGTGTGTTGACTTCATGGCTCCTATCGTACCATTTTGGGCCATAATACGTAGGATGCCTAGGTCTGTTGTTTTTTTTTTTCGCCCGCCCGCTCCATTATTTTTCTAGAAAAATCCGTTAACCAAGAAATTAAATTGATGTGGCCTAACCTTGGACTTCAGACTAATATTCCTGTCTCTCCGTGTCTGTCTCGGGATATAATTTCTTCAATCCTTCCTTAGTACTGATTATGGAGCCAAGGTACTTAAACTGTTCCAGTGTTTAGAGCCTTCCTGGTTCACAACTGATTTCCCCTACATATTGTCTACTTGTACTTATTTCCCCTTATAGGGGGCCCGCAAGCCCTTTCCCGTGGAGCGTAATTGGCCGTTTTAATTCTACGTAGAGCGTAGACGGACCACTCCAATATTTTTGCGTAGAGCGTATTCGGTGTTTTAATTCTACGTAATGCGTTGCAGCCACTTGGAATTTATCGTAAAGCGTAATCGAGAGGTTTCCGAATTCAGTGTAGAGCGTTGTCGGGACCCCTCCCTTGCAGGCCCTCCTTATACTGCACATAAAACATAGTGATGGTAACAAGGCCACAGCAAGTAACTTGTATGGATGACATCAGTGCGCGCATTAATTTTCGCCTTATTTTGGAAAAAAAAATTGTTGCCTTCTGACAGTGGTCAGCATGCCAAAAATGGGCAAAGATGTTATGTTGCCATGCCGGAAGGTGGATGACAGATAACTATGAAGAGAGGAGACAAGAAAAGGCTCTGATTTAATGTATTGTTTCCTACTTTGATGCTGTGATATGTGATGGTGGCTGTGTATATGTGATGTTCCCACTGAATCAAAACCATTTTACAATGATTGAGTCAACATTTTAAAATGTAGGAACCTAGCTTGTTTTTTTGGCCCGCCTTGGTTTTTTTTTTTCGCCCGCTCGCGTTAGATTTGGAGTCTTCGGGGGAAGTCATCCATAAAATTTACTTGCTGTGGCCTAAGTACTCTCCAAGCAAATGTTTGGGTTTTGGCTTATTTTTCTTCATTTATTTTTGTTTAATTATTTGTTTTATTGTTGGGAAAACATTGCCATTGGCATTGTAGCAGTTACTGCATGGTACTTCAGTTACTGTAGTGCTTTGGAGTTTTATATCTCTTGATCTGGGCATGCTATGGTTGTGATTTTATTGTGGGGATCGATATGGTAGTTTTTGGTCCACTAATAATGGACATTCCAGTGAATTTCTACATGTATACATGTAATACAGCAGTAGCACATTTGGGTTTCATTATCTTGCCAAGCTGTGGTCTTTATTTTTTCTTCCCACTGGGCAGGTGTTGAGGAGTAGATTTGGCCCCCTTATTATTATTATGGAACTGCAGGTAGCATTTTGTGTTAAACTTTTTTTTGCTGAGGATGACTGGAGCAAGCGTCAAAGGGTTTTCCTTTCCAGGTAATGATTAGCACAGGGTGTCCAAATTAGGACCTTGTTTACACAATTTTAAGTACACGTCTACAGCATGACTAAATGTGACATAATGAGGCTGAAGGTTCTGGGGCAGGGGGTACACAGGTGTTGTTACCACATACCTGACACACACCTGTCTGTTCCAGGTGTTGTTACCACATACCTGACACGCACCTGTCTGTTCCAGGTGTTGTTACCACATACCTGACACACACCTGTCTGTTCCAGGTGTTCCTATAATGCTGATGTAGCTGACACCTGTGTGAGTCATGGCTGAGGGCCAGGGGGCGGCTGGGTGCTCAGGTGAAACTGCAGAGTCCAGCTCAGTTCTCCTGGTGAGTGGCCAGTATGCCACATCTGAGGACTGCAGTTCCCCCGTCAGCCGACAGGTGGCCCAGACCCTAACAGGAGCAGGGTGGAAAGTTTACAGTACCATTTTGGAGGATACAGAGGAGGACAGAAAGTGTGCTGAGGCTGATGGAGTGGAGCTCATCCTCCCAACCCGCAGTCAGGGAGACACAAGGGAACCCTGTCTGGCTTGGCTGACCTTTGACCACCCTACACGCTATCCCAGACTCCCACAGAATGCAGGGTGGATTGTGGGTAATGCTGGGGTCACCAGCAGAGCAGCAGCAACTATCAAGGAACAGCGTTTCCCCCAAGCAAGCCTCAGTCTTGTCACCCAGACTATACCTGAAGACACAGAGAAGTACAAGGAAGATGAGAAGGCCATGGGCATCGGACAGAAGGAAGACTCCATCAGACAAGATGCAGAGAAGGCAGATACTGTGTTTTCTGTGGGACACAGAACACAAGACCACTTTGTAAACTCATTTCGTGCAATTCCTAAAGACAAGAGGCCAACTCACTACCTCTTCCTGCCCAAACCATCAGACTTGTTCCTGAACACTACAGTTGAGTACTTTGAAACAAGTGAGAAAGTTGTTCTTTTATTTGGTAGTGTGACAACAGTTGAGAGGTTGAAAGGTTTTGACTTGGCAGTCAAGATCTTGTCAAAAGTGGTAGAAAGGAGTCAGGACAGAATCAAGTTGCGGATTTGTGGTGTCAGTAAAGAGGAGTATCAGGCCAGTTTGGGCATTCTCCAAACCAGCATCAACTCAGGAAAACTGATCCCCACCCTTCTCCCACACGGCACCCAGGAAGACGTCTGCCGAGACATGCAGCAGGCCCACCTAGTTCTCATGCCCTCCCGTGCAGAACCCTTCGGACTGGTTGGTCTGGAGGCCATGGCAGCCGGCGTGCCGGTCCTCATATCTGACCAATCAGGACTGGCGGACTTGGTCAATAAGGTCGTACCAGAATTCCACCACTCCATTCTCAGAATCACGGGTGACGATTCTGTAGATGTTGGACGTTGGGCAGATCAGATTGCGGATGTTCTGCGGATGTCAGAAGCCGAGTTCCGTCGGGCTGCAGAACTCAAGCAGAAACTCCTGGAGTCCAGATACTGGGAAGAGTCTCATCAGCAATTCCTTCAGGCATTTGGAGGTCAGGAAATTGTTGTTTTGCTACAAGGTCTTCACTTTCCTCTCTCAAACTGAAGAAATGGACATTTATGTGTAATGAAATATTGGCATAAATGCATCAGTGAATTAATTTCTCCTTTCTACCAAAAATTGCCAACTGATATAAAATTGTATAAAAGCATTAAGTACAAAAGAGTTAAAAGACTTTCTGAATGTACTAGTACTTAAAATCTGCAGGAATTTTACACAATCTAAATTAAGGCTTTGGTATGACTAAGTCTTCATTAGTAAAAAAATTAAATTAGTATGCATTGTCATGTCAGTTTCTGTCTGAAAAAAATATTTTTGAAGATTTTAAACATCCACATACTATGAAACTGTTTTAATTCATCTGTAAATTCTTGTCAAAGGTAATAATTTCCTGCAACAGAATGTCTAAAGTCCAACTGAACTGTACATGTGTGCAGGTCACGTTTCTGAAGTCCAGAAGGGAAAGAGCTGTGCAGCTCTTACTGGGGAGACGGCCACTGATGGAGGGTCAAGGAATCCCTCGGAACCAGGTAACTTCTGAAAACTGCATCATTCTTACACTAATACTGCATATGTTTATCAAGGCTAAACTTTGTTGATTTGATTTCAAACTTCAAATCATTTTTCATTTGTACCAGTCTGAGAAAAACACATATTATATGGTGTCACTGGAGATCTTGACATCTTCACATGTAAGAAACAATTTTTAGGATTAATAACTATTACTGACACTGTTATACTACATTTTGCTTAATACTAAGATAAATGTATAACTAAGTTCTGTCCTCTTCCAGAAGTTCCAGTTCCAGTTGGAGCTGCAGGAACAGAGTCTTCTTCAGTGACAGGTGTCAATCAGACAGGTGTCAAAATTCAAGTAAAAAATGAGTGTCATCTGTGTTTGTAACAATACTGTAAGTAACGTTAGGTTTTTTGACCTACAATTTAGATAATTTATATTTTAGTATGCACATTGTACCCCAGCAAGCTGTGAGCCAAAATAACTCACCTTGCATTTATCCAAAGGTTGATGTTTAGAGAAACACTTTGATAAGAGATTATTGATTCTTTTCTTATTACATGTATTGTTCATAAATAAGTAGTTCAATCTGACAAGAACTTTTCCCCTCATGTATTTCTAAGTTTGAGTTTGAAATTTTATAACCATGATTACTTCTATTCCAGATTTGTTCCAAGAATCTGTGAAGAGGTACTATGAGTTGAAACTGACTCACTTCAAGCCTCTGATCTGGAATGATGACTTCACACTTAGCCTCAGTGATATCTTCACCCAGTTAGAGTTGATACAAAAATCAAAACATAAAAGGTCAGAATCAATGAGGGGAGAACAGAGAAAAGAGCTTAAGTCATTAGACGACTTGTTCAAGCCAGATGTCACAGGACTGTCCACAGCACCAAGGTGCATTCTGATTGAGGGTGAAGCTGGAGGGGGGAAGACAACGTTTCTGTCCAAAGAAGCCTTAGATGCCGTCTCACAGAAAACAGAGCTGGGCAGACGGCACAACATCGTCCTGTTGATCCGACTCCGGGAGGTGAGAGAGGGGGAGACCATAGAGGAGATGGTGTGGGACCAGTGTGTTGATGAAACAACTGAAGGTATTGAAGCACAATCCATTAGAACAATCCTACAGAGGAACAAGTCCCGTGTGCTCTTCCTCCTAGATGGGTATGATGAGCTGCGGCCTGAGGCCAGGGCAGCCGGGCAGGCCATTCCCAAACTGCTGTCTGGCAAGATGTACCCCAACAGCACGATTGTGATCACCTCCCGACCCTCAGCAGGAGTGCAGCAGTACACCCGGCCAGACTGTCATGTACACATCATGGGTTTCTCCCCTAAACATATGGTGGAATATGTGCAGGAATATTTCATCATTACACAAAATCCTGAGCTGGGAGAGGAGTTCATCAGGCGATATTTCAGATTTCTATCATTGCCAGGTCGTGCTGATCTAGTATTTCTTCAAAATCAGGAACTCAAAGACCTCATCCAAACCCCAATGTTCCTGATGTTTGTGTGTCTGCTGTGGGAGGAGGACCAAGAGATGGTGTCTACTGGAACAATGATGGGGCTGTACGACAACCTGCTGACATGTCTGGTCAGAAAGTGCTGTGAGCGGGAAGGAGTGGAAATGCCAACAGAAGGGCTGCCTACAGAGGTTGCTGAGTCATTACTGCAGCTCGGCAAGCTTGCACTAGAGGCACTGCTGAGGAATGAGACCCTGCTTGACCTTACAGAAGTAAAGAGAGAAAAGGTTAATTGGGAGTTACTGTTAAAGCTAGGTGTGGTCTCCTTGGAGGTTTCTTCCTCGAGATTGCATCCTAGGAAACAGCTGAACTTTTCACACAAGACCATGCAAGAGTTCCTGGCCGGACGATATGTAGCCCATGCTCAAGTGAACCAAGACATTGTTGAGCTGCTGCAGCTCACCTCCATAAGCAAGGCACTAGAACTCAGTAACCTGCTTCAGTTCACATGTGGCTGTGACTCACGGGCAACACAAGCTGTGATGGAGGAACTAATCAAGCTCAGCAGAGAGTTCTCACACTTGAAACCTGAACAGTTTCAAAAATCAAATGTGCCAATGGATCCGAATGTGCAAAAGTCCTGCCAAATCTATGAAAGGTTCGCACACTTGTGCCTGAACATCCTTAGTGAGAGACAAGAACCAGAAGTGCTTCAGGGTATCAGTCAAGCCTTGCCAATTGTCATGCTGGACGGCTCCATTAACAGTAGAGAAGCCACAGGTCTTAAGTATTACATACAAAATCTTCATTCAGCAAACCTGCCAGACAGGCTCATACTTAGGATCCATGGAGACACTGACAGAGACACAGTTCAGTACCTACAGCAGTGTTTTACAACTTCACTCCCTGGACTTAAATTGGACTTGAAACTATTAGGACAGTTTGACTCACCTGATCTGACAGCCAGGCTGGTTTCAGTTCTGAAGAATGTTCCCTGTCTGAGGGCGCTGGATCTGTCATACACAAAACTAACACCATCATCACTCCAGCCACTTGTGCAGGGGTTCAGACACATGTCTCTGTTGGAGGAGCTGGATCTTTCTGGGAACCCTGACCTTGGTGATTCTGGGATGGAAGTCCTACAGGTTGGGCTGTCCAGCGTTCCACACCTGGCTGTACTCTGTCTTAGGTTTGTCAGGATGACAGCTGTGGGCATGTCATCCCTGGCTTCCTACATCATGCACCACCTAGTGGGACTGACAGAACTGGATATAAGTAATAATGAGATTGGTGCCACTGGGCTGGAATCTCTCACCACCGTCCTCCACACCTTCACTGCCATGCAGGTGTTGTGCCTGAGTAAGACCGGTATCAGCCCCACAGGCATGCGCACACTGGTCCCTGCACTGTGTAAGTTAACCAGACTGATCAAACTGAACATTAGTGATAATGCCATAGGAGACCCCGGGCTGGAATGCCTGGCTGCTATCCTCCACCACCTCACAGCCATGAAGGTGTTGGTTCTCAGTGAGACAGATATCAGTGACAGGGGAATATCATCCCTGATCAAAGCTCTGCCTCACCTGGTGCAATTACAGGTGTTGGATGTGAGCTGGTGGAATAACATAGGAGACTCAGGGATTGTCTCACTGGTGCAAACACTCTGCCAGCCCAGCAGTTTGGACATGGAACAAAACCCACCTGGTGACAAGAGTCTGACCACAGCCCCTCACTGTAACACCACACTACAGGAGCTGGACTTTGGGAGGAATAGGGGAGTAACAGGAGTCGGACTGGGGAGGGTCGCACAGGTCATCAGCACACTGCCGGCACTGACCAGGCTGGACATGTCTTGTCACTGGGACAAACCTACACACCTGTCTGACACCGCTGCCATGGATCTGGCCGAGGCTCTACCCAGACTCCCTGCCCTGGAGCAGCTGGACCTGGAGTACATCTCCATGGAGCCTGCAGGGTTCCAGGCTGTGGTGCAGGCTGCTGAGGAACACCCAACACTGGAGACGTTGAGGTGAGTTCTATTGGTTATCCTATAGGCATGCTCTACTCCAGTCCAGGGTAACATAAAAGGGAGTCACTAATTAATGAGATGTTGAGTATTTGATAGAACTCTAAATTGATATGTGGGAATTGATGATATGTGTAAATTGTCCTTTTCAAGGCTGCACTATTTGCACAGTCATTTTGATAAATTTACCTTACTTGGCTAATACTAATAGATACACAAGTGTTCTGGTACACATACTTCAATAATTACCTTCGCCAAGAAGGTTATGTTTTCAGTAGCGTTTGTCTGTTACCTTCGCCAAGAAGGTTATGTTTTCAGTAGCGTTTGTCTGTGTGTGTGTGTGGGTGTGTTTGTGTGTGTGTGTGTGTGTGTGTGGTTTAGCAAGATAACTCGAGAAGCAGTGGATGGATTGGTATGAAACTTGGTAGGTGGGTAGGACTTCATGAGACCTAGAAATGATGAGATTTTGGACCCCCTGGCGGCTTTCCTAGGTACTGCAGCTGAACTTCCGGTTTTGATATCTCATGTTCTGGACATGCTAGGGTCACGAATTTTGGTTGGTAGATAGCTCTTGGGGTAGGGAAGAAGTGACATGAGTTTGGGTCCCCTAGCGCCTTGTTCTGGAACTGCAGGAGCAGTTGTTGAAAAAAATTTGAAGGACGATAACTCAAGAACCGGCTGACGTATTGTCGTGATTTTTGGTATGTAGGTAGTTGAAGTGATGCTTGACATAATCAGATGGCAATTATGCAAATCAGGAGCTAATTTGCATAATTAACGAGGAAATTCTATAAATCTGATTTGTTCGATAATAGAACTATGAAACAGTTGTGACATCTACTTGAGAACGAGAAAAACATCTGAGGATATAGATTATGTAAATGAGGACCTAATTTGCATAATTAATGGCAAATTCTTATAATTCCATAGTTGTAACTGCTGCACCCCGAATTTCATACTTGCCACATTTGGAAGTTAAGTGAAGGTGAACATTAATATACATAATTTATTCAAATCATGACCTCATTTGCATAATTTATGAGGAAGTGCTATAATAGCCTTTTTGTTATGATAAGGCTGTCATTGGGTGGAGAATATGATCAACTGATATAATCCATGCAAATGAGGCTCTTATTTACAAAATCAATGATTAAAATTGTAGAATTCGTCACCCGCAAGGGTTAACATCTTTTGGCGAAGGTATGAGATCATCGAACTCTTGTTATGTATGTGCCCATTTTACATGTAAGTGTGCATTAACCAATATGGCACCAAATAATTTATGAATCTACGAATCAGTAGTTTTACCAACATATTCTGTAGTTAAAGTTATAATTATAACAATATTATGTTAACCGTTGTAATTAAGCAACTCTGTTTTCCATTTCACATATACAGGTACGATAGGTATAGAGTCCCTGAGGGAGCGGACACCACAGCCAGCTGCCTGGTGCTGGTCTGAGTTCCCAACATGGCGACCTGTTCTGTACATTTCCTCAGCTCAGGTCAGTATTGCATTATAAATTATATATAGTTATAATTAACTAATTATTCCAACATGTTAGGGACATTGATACAGAACTAATTTTGTTTCTATTCAGCTGCCAAAAAAATACAACATAAAACTTTTGTTGTATTAATGTATGTGTATAATATATTTCTGAAACAGCACATTTATATCATATATTATATATTTTGTATTGTATATTATATTGTATTGTTTCAGACAGACAACACCCGCTCAGGATGACATGAATCAAACAATCCGGTTTTAGGACCAAATTCACTCAGGATGAGGACATGAGATGATCTACATGTAAGATATGTTATTAATACATGTAGATTGATAAC